CGTCACAGTGGTCACAGTGGTGCCTATGCTAACCTTCCTATGGTGTAGAAATATACCTAGTTGGACGAATCTTATTGTGGCTAGCTGGTCCAATGGCTAACGCGACGGCCTGGAGTTTTGAGACTCTCTGATCGCGGGTTCTATCCTTGCCTGTGGTATGGTTTGTTTACAATCGTGTCATTACGATTTCGTGAGTCAAGTGACCTGATCAAGTTCAACATGGAGCGGGGCGTCGCCGCAATAAAAGTTTGCTTTGCTCCTCTATCTTTTTTCTTATACAGCATGGGCAATACTCCTTCATATCTAGTTGCTAGCTTGTAAATTGTGACTAGAGTGCCCCAGGTTGCTCTGAACCTACATGCAAAGTACAAATGTTGTCAGAAGCTTTCTGTCGTCCAGCCTACGGGGCGAGAGAGTGTCAAGGAATGGTATATCTTTATTTTTGTTAAAAGTGTGTTTCTCTTTGTCATCCTTTAGATTTTTTTTGTAAACCTAATATAATAATGTTAACGTCATATTGAAATACATTTATTTGAGTTTAGTCGAAATTATTGTCGATATGTGGTGTCTGCGAGGTTGTTGTTACAGTGTCAAGGATGTCTGTCTAGCTAAACTGCGATTTCATTGATTCATTCATTCATTCAGTAATCATAAACCGTAAACATATCCATCCATAAATGTGAAACCACTTTAGTCGTAGCTAACACTGCCTCAGGAACACAAGGACAGCGGAACACTGTCTGAGGAACACAAGGACAGCGGAACACTGCCTGAGGAACACAAGGACAGTGGAACATTGCCTCAGGAATACAAGGACAGCGGAACACTGCCTCAGGAACACAAGGACAGCGGAACACTGCCTCAGCAATCCAAGGGCAGCGGAACACTGCCTCAGGAACACAAGGACAGCGGAACACTGCCTCAGGAACACAAGGACAGCGGAACGCTGCCTTAGTAATACAAGGACAGCGGAACACTGCCTCAGGAACACGCAAGTACAGCGGAACGCTGCCACAGGAACACAAGGACAGCGGAACTCTGCCTCAGGAAAACAAGGATAGCGGAACGCTGCCTCAGGAACACAAGGACAGCGGAATGCTGCCTCAGGAACACAAGGACAGCGGAACGCTGCCTCAGGAACACAAGGACACCGGAACGCTGCCTCAGGAACACAAGGACACCGGAATGCTGCCTTAGGAACACACAAGGACAGCGGAACACTGCCAGCGGAACACACATCTTGTCTAAACGAGAACCAAAACTCTGAAACACCTAGGCAAAAGGTGTCAAATAAAGTCACATCCTGAAGAATTGAATTTAACACACACAGTAACATGATCCAGGAGCCTTGTTAATACACCTATAGACCGATGGAACAACAGGAACTACATCAAATTATTCATTAAATTTACCTTATTAGCCTGAGATCAATCAAGAAATATGAGGTTCACTGTAGCACGAAACATTTGACGAATGATCCAAGCAGCACAAGTCTGTTCAGAAGGTATCCGACCTTTTCACAAGAGGAGAATCTGCAATCTGTCACAACCTTCAAAAGAAAAGTGATCTCGTAAACTGCTTACTCTCTAGACCTGCATTTCCCTTGGATCAAGGCTTAATTGCCTTTCGTTCCTCAGGCGCTGTTTGACCCTTACGAATTAGCGCTTCTCTGTGAATATATTAATAATCTGGACGGCTAGACGGGCTACTGTATAATACTACGTCCAACTCTGCTTGCTTGTCTGACTCAATATCTTTTATGGTGACTGCTTCTTAATCCCTAACTATTCGCCTCTGCAGTCTTAAAAAATAAAATTGGCTAGAATGTCCGGGCATCAGTACGAGCTTTCCTCATATCAGAAACTACAGCAAAGCACACAGTTGATGGGATCCTAATGCCTATCTCTCGCGTATTCATTCGGGATTTACGTACACGTGACTGTCTCCATATTCTTCCCCCACCTGAAGCTATTGTAACCTGTCGTCTGTCTCTACGTTACCCGGGATTCAAGTCTTCTCGGGAAGCAATCAGAAATACGGACATCCTTTAGGAATTCGTGTAAACTGCTACTTCATCGCTTTTGCATCCATAGACGGCATTTACAAATAAGAATTCACCCGGTAGAAATACATTAGCCTTCAGGGACGCAGCAGCAGAAGTTGCCAGCCCACACTCCTCCAGCGGCCGTCACTCACCCAGCAAGACTTCCACAACCAATAACGTGACTTACATACACTGAAGCAGGAGGCGAGGGTTCACATTCCAACCCTGATACAGTACCGATACAACTGACGAGAAACTGCATGAAATACAGGGACCAATACATGTCCCTGAACATACGATAAATATCGTTCGCTGCTACAGGAATCATATCGGTACAAGTTTTTTCTCGCATATTGGGCAATTTGCAAGAATGTGATCTTCACTGGCGTACTGCCTTTTCCTCCATACATAGTTGCTTAAAAATTGCCCCTTGCAAGCAGGGAACAACAAAATGTTATAAGGTGAACAGTTGCCATTTTCAACGACCCAATGTCATTCCAAATCTTCGTTTAGCACTATGTCGCTAATTACAAATTAGCGTTTTTTAAGTGGACCCTGGTATAGTCAGGCAGTCATCCACAGGTAACACCACATCCTGAAACTAAACAACCAGGTGATTATGTATTCCAGCCACTCCAGCCTAACTAGGATCAGCCTATGGTATCACACGGAGATATCGCATCATCAGCAGCCCATACTTATCAGCTAATTTTGGATGGTGACCATACTGGGAACATATTATACGAACACACGCCTGCGACGTCGGTTGACACTGTACAATGTAATATTTTATACCTTTTTGTTCAATGACGAACCAGTTTTATAATTATGAATCAACCATTTATACAAAAAGAGTACTCACTCGGCGGCTTGGTGACCCTCGAGTCTGGTGACCATAACAAGCACTCCACAGTGCTCAAAGTTCGGCTATAGCTTCTTCAGCTCACAAATAAGGGTTCGATCCTAGGAGGAGCGAAGACGTGGGGCGTGTTTCCTTACACCTGTTGTCCCTGTTCAACTATCGCTAAACAGTCGCACAGGTTTAAGCGGACTGCTTAAAGTGGCATCCTGATCGGCCAGAGTGTGGTGCTTAATTCCGACTGAGTGCCACTAGCGCCGGTTTTGTAATACGTCAAGCCAGCAACCAGGAGGCACGTGTGGGACCCAGGAGTGCAAGCAACGATTCTTGGAACCATCAGTTAATGGTTCAGTCCCAGTCGTTCCTAGGGTGAAACTGAGCTCATCCCAGCAACATATGGAGAAAGACAGACCTTGTGCCAGCATCTTCTGGAAGGGAAACGAGCTTATCCCAGCATCATCTAGAGTGACCCTGAACTCATCCCAATATCTGGAGCGAAACTGAGCGACAGTAAGCTTATACCAGCAGCATCTTGAGCGACAATAAGCTTATACCAGCAGCATCTTGAGCGACAGTAAGCTTATCCCAGTAACGTCCGGAGTTAAAAAGCGCCTAAAACAGTATCAAAGAGCGAAATTAAGCTTATCCCAACTTAATGTTTACAATAATAATAATAATAATAATAATAATAATAATAATAATAATAATAATATTATTATTATTATTATTATTATTATTATTATTATTATTATTATTATTATAATTATTATTATTATTACTATTATTGTTATTAGTATTATTATTTTATTCATGGGAAAACACAAAACCAGCAGGGGTCAATCAGAGCATCGGAAGGCAATTGAGTTCTAACGCTGAAGGGCAGATTAGTTCCCATCCCTCGAATCAAAAACCTCTCACAGGCACCAAACACCATCTTACCCCCACCCCTCAATCCTCCTCAAGCTAATTTTGCTAAAAAAAAATGTATGTGAATCACAAATATTCTCCCCATCGTTAATACAGAACGAAAATATAGAAGAAAATATTTAGGGGTTTATTTTGAAATAAAGTTTAAGATCTTAGACCATATTAATTTGTTTTTAAATGTTATTTGCAAGAGGGAACAAATATGAATGTCAACACCGAACTGTGAATAATTCGAAAGTTGTGAATAATGCTACGTAAATTGTGAATAATATGTAAATGGTGAATGATGATACGTAAATAGTGAATAATTATACGTAAATAGTGAATAATGATACGTAAATAGTGAATAATGATACGTAAATAATGAATACTGATACGTAAATAGTGAATAATGATACGTTTGTTGTAAATAATGATACATCATTTGTGAATAATATGTAAATTGTGAATAATAATAATGATAATGATAATAATAATAATAATAATAATAATAATAATAATAATAATAATAATAATAATAATAATAATAATAATAATACGTATATTGTGAATAATAAAACGTAAATTGTAAATGATTGTATATAAATTGTAAATAATACTACGTAAATTGGGAATAATAAAGCATAAATTGTAAATGATATGTAAATTGTGAATAATAATACTTAAGCTGTTAATAATAATTCGTAAGTTATCAATAATAATACGCAAGTTGTGAATAAAACGTAAATTGTAAATGATAATATATAAATTGTGAATGTAAAAAGATAAACTATGTACAGATGTAATGTTGAATGTGGTGGCTGGAAGTGTAGGTATTTAAGTGTTATTTTAAGTAATTAACACACAGCCTTGAAGGTTAGGAGAGTTATTAGTGTGATGGATGGCAGGTGCTGGAAGCTGGTGTGGGGGATGGCAAGTGCTGGATGTGGGTGTGAGGGATGGCAGGTGTTGGAAGTGTGGGTGTGAAGGATGACAGGTGCTAGAAGTGTATGAAGGAAGGCAGGTGTTACACACATGCAGGTGTTACACACCTGCAGGTGTTGGAAGTGTATGAGGGGGGAGGGGGGTGAGAGGGGGTATGTAAAGCAGGCGTTGTCAGTGAGGGAAGGCAGGCAGGCAGGCAGGCAGGTGCAAGACGAGGAGCAGTAAGACTAACACTTTCCACCACAGGTGCACCAGACGTGGATCTGAGCCAGCTGAGTGAGGAAGAGAGAGCTATCATCGTCAGTGTCATGGAGAAGGCCAAAGAGATGGAGGTCCACCACGACACTCCCACCAGACAAAGGTAAGACACACAAAAACAACCTTGTTTTGGCCCCGCCACACTCCCTAGACCATCATTTTCCTCTCCCCGGGGCTTGTCTTCCTTCCCCAGGAATATCTCCCTGCAAGCTCGCAAAGTCTTATCTCCCTTCCCAGGGGGCCGTTCCCTCCCTTGGTCAGGAAAGTAATATCTATTACCAGGTTGTGTTTCACGTGATGTTTTCCTGGAAGTTACTTAAATCTGACTGGTAAGTAGACTTATACTAAACCTGGTATTGGAGGTAGACATACACTTTAAACCTGGCAGGAGAAAGCAAATCTACATCTTAACTTTGACATGGGAGAGTAGACATGCACATTTTATAGGTCACCTATGTGGAGCTCCTAGTCACTACATTCTAGAGAAAAATTACAAATGTAGAATGTAATGGTACTGTACGTGCGTATGGGTGTGAGTAGTAAATACTCACGCAAACACACGCGCACACGCGCGCACGCACAGTAAATACAAGCTCATGCCAGCAAGCACACGTTAACACGGGGAACACTCACACTTGCATTAAAGTACTCGCCCGTGTAAACCACAGAAATGTGGAAACAAACAAGCGAGCGAGCGCTCGTGTGAAAGTATCCCGGAAAGAATTACTGGGGAGTTGAAAGTTACCAGACACATCTTAACTCAATGTGTGTGTGTGTATGTGTGTGTGTGTTGGAGATAATCAGTCATGACTGATCATCCCTCACATGCACATGATCGGTCATGACTGTGATTGCAGAGGACAGAACCGGAGACCAATCTAAGGTCGACCGTATTTTGTTTGTTTATTTCCTCGTGAAAAGAACTAGAATTACTGGCATTTAGGGATGTCATAATTAGCTAATTTTGTCTGATAGGTGAGAATCTATCCTAACCTAACCAAATCTCAATTACATAAATCCGTCATATAATTGCATATACACTGATAAGGTTACACATACCTCTCGATGTATATAAACTTATATAAACTAATTTCTTTATTTCAGATTATATCTTACAGAAATTTTAGAAAATTAGCTTATTTTTTTCGATATTTTTTTGTTTCACACGGAGGCTTACTTAGTAGCCTAACCTAAACTCGCTATAAAACTTCTTAACATAACTTAATCCTATTAAACTTATCCTATATCAATGTTATTTAACATGACTGAAATTTATGGATTTCATGATGTTGTGGTTGATTTTCGTGGATGTGGGCTTTACTTGCTTGGGTGAATTATTATTGATTTACGAGCTAAGTCTGCAAGTTCTGATTATAAAGCATATATATTTACTGCAAACTTTGACTTAAAACTTTCTCTGCCTATACTTTTGGGAAGAGGTTAAGCTGGGCTAAGATATGCTAGTTTAAGTTAGGATAACTTAGACTAGGGTTGGTAGGGTAAGGTTTGGTTAAGTTAGGTCAGGTTAGGTTGCGAAGAGTTAAGTTAGGCTACATTACGATAGGTTAGGTTAGGCTAGATTAGGTTCGATTAGGCTAGGAAGATTAGATTAGGTTGGGTTAGGTTAGGAAAGGTTAAGTTAGGCTGGTTAGGCTTTGTTAGGCTAACTACGGAATGTTTTGGGTAGGTTAGGTTGAGAAATTTGAGCTCGTGTTGATAGTCTTCTGATGAACCGTAATTCAGGGCACATGTTCACTTTTTTTTTTTTGTAAAGTATCCCCTAATGTCTACACATCTTCCCAGCTCGTTAGCAGAGAGATTTAGAGACGGATATAGCAAGACCGTCGTAGTGAGGAGAAGGTAGACGTGCAGAGTCCAGCATCAACGTGTTGTGGGAATATTTTGAGAGAAGATGAAGCTGGAAGACTGTTTTGCTATTAAGTTTTTATGTGAAAAATGGAGGAAGGAATTATTGAGATAGTGTGGTCGTGTAGAAAATAAGGACATAAGAAAGAATGATTAAGAGAGTATGTAAATGTTGATGGATTAAGAGAGGTGCATGCTAGGTCCTAGGAAAGGCAAAGAAAAGAAAGTGGTTGAATAAGCTATTATTATGACAACGTTTCTGGGTAGAGCGAAACGTTGTCCCAAGAAAAGCTTGTTCTGCAAAATGTCTTTTCTTTGCTTTTCTCGGCAGTACGGTATTTGGATCAAGCTTGGCAGGGCGTGATACAGGTGGTATTGGAAGGTCGGAACCTGAGCATCTAGCAGGCACGTGTGATACTACACGCAAGAGAATTTATTTGTTTTCAGACACTGCAGAAACTTGAATATCGCATCTTGTGATTTTTTTTTTATAGCGGCAGACTAGTAAGTCAGCAGAACGCCTCTCTCAAATTAGCGAAAGCTCCACTATGTAGGGTCATCAAATGCCTTACATCAGTGCAAGGGAAAACTCTATATTTCTCCTGACAAACGAAATATCCCCTTCCAAGTGTGAGCGTGTTAGACTGGAGTGAGTGGAGGCGAGTGATCTTTGGGATTTGACGTGATCTTCGAGTGTGAGCTTAGTAATATTTCTGAAAGGCTTTAGGGAAACCGATTTGCAGAAATTGAGTTTCAGAGGTGGGATGTACGGTACCTGCAGCTTCCAAAGTTGAGAGACGGGAATGCAGAGGTATAGTAATGCGGAGGATAGTAGTTGAGATAGTGATACAAAGACATGGCGTTATAGATTTATAGGGTTGCAGAGATATAAGGATGAGAACTATGGGGACAGAGAAAAACAGTATTATTAAAATACAGGAATGTAGATCAATAGAGATTCAGAGTAGTGCTATAGAGAGACAGAATAGGTGATGGTGGCCGTGATACTTATGGTAATGGTGATGGTGGTGGTGGTGATGGTAGTGGTGGTGATGGCAGTGGTGGTGGTAGTTTTGATGATGCTGTGGTGGTTTATTCGTACGGAAACAAGATAAGTGTCTCTTAAAAAGAATTTTAGTCAATTGATGACTTTTAACTAGCTAATCATACTCTAGCCTGCGCTAGCTAGGTTTCACATTACCTCTGCATCCAGACAGCTATAGAGTGACAGAAACGTGCGGCATATCGGTAGCCAATTAGTGTAATACAATGGTTAAGCTGGTCTTGCTCTGCTGCTACTGTGATCGCCTTTACCTTCACATATTGAAATGTCAACAGACGAAGACACTGAGAAAATCTTCATAATATCAACCTGCACTTTTGTCTTAGATACAGATGTAGACATGAGGTAAGTGTCAAGCTATGGTATGTGACTAACTCGAACTAAAAACTCGAACTTAAAGCATCCGAGTGCTGAGCCGTGACAATCTAGCGTTTTGTACAAAATACACACACCGGGAAGGGTCCTTGAGGGTAAATTTGTACAACCTCTCCTATAAATATAATGGGGATATATTACACGTTGTTGATTTTTGCTAAAAAAAAATACTATATAAAATTATTTGTAAAAATGTTTTTCTAGGTTAGGTGTTCTTATTCCGGTAGGACTCTTTGTGGTTCTTTGAGAGAAATACTATGAGCAATTCTCTCAAAGAACCACAGCATCACGAGAACTGGGAAATTCTCCCAATATCTCTGACAGTATCTCAGGATGCCACAAGCGATGCAAAAGGATATTCATCCAAAAACCCAACCGGGGCTGTTGTGTTCTTGGTATAAAAGCATGTAATATATAATATGCCTATATCTCAGACGACATTTCGCTCAGGACTGAGCTTCAAGACTAAAGCTTAGCTAATAAGATACATTCAACAAATCAACGATTCATTTACATGAGGTACTATTAAGCATTTCGTTAAACCACTTGTAGTAGGCTACACCATACTTCACTTAAGACTAAGACTTGATAAAACTCACTAAAACACGCTCTGCAATTGCGTCTTAATGCCTATGTGTCGTTTTGTTGCCCCAGTTACCATCCTTCACCTCACTGTTGATGACTGTCATGAACGTCGACTTCATAAGAACGCTGTGCTCACCTGTGTGTTACCGAAGGTAGGTGCTTCTTGCATGTGGGGAAGTGTGTAAATGACGGTGGTGGTGGTATTGGCCCTGATTGCATTCAGGTCATCTAATGGAATGAGATTCAGGGAGTGGGTTAGGGGACTACCAGCTGTGATAGGAGGCTTCCACACGCTTGATGGGGTTGCCAGCTGCTTAAAGGGACTGTCAACTACTTAAAGTGACTGCCAGCTGATTGAAGGGACTGCCAGTTGCTTAAAGGGACTCGCAACTGTGACAGGAGGCTTCCACATGTTTGATGGGGATGCCAGCTGCTTGAAGGGGCTGCCAGTTGCTTGAGGTGGACTTAATAACCATTGGGGGATCTAGCAGGTGCTTGAGAAGGCTTCCAGCCGGTTGAGGGGGTTACCAGCTGCTTGAAGAGGCTGTCTGCTGCTTAATTGGACTGCTAGTTACTTGAGGGAGCTCCCAACTACTTGAAAGGGGGCTGCCACTTACTTGAGGAGGCTGCCAGCTACTCTGGGGAAATGCCATCTACTTGAAGGGACTACCAGCTACTTAAAGGAACTGCCAGCTACCTGCAGGGGCTACTATTTACTTAAGGGGGCTGCCAGCTACTTGAAAGGGCTACTAGCTAATTGAAGGTGGTGCCAGCTACACGAGGGAGCTACCAACTATTTGAAGAAGCTACCAGCTTCTTTAGGGGAGCTACCAGCTGCTTCAGGCGGCTACCAGCTACCTGAGGGGGCTGCCAGCTACTTGTGGGGGCTGCCAGCTTTTTGAGGGGACCGTGAGCTACTTGAGCTACTTACTAATTGAAGGGATACAAGGCTTAGCTTCAGCTAGGCGCTCATGTTTATCGGGGTTTAGCTGCGTGACGAAAATATTGTGTACTTTCCGAATAAGGCAAGCGACAATTTGTGAATGCAATAATTTCGCAAAAATCATTCTGAACCTAACGAAAAAATTATATTTCATTGTGTTTGCTTATTATTAAATTATTGTAAACTTATTTAAAATATATTTAGTTGGATTAGGCTAAATTAAACTGCACTTATATATATATATATATATATATATATATATATATATATA